ACAAATGCTATATAATAATCCCCTCTAATATTCACCTGTAATGTCTTTGCAGCACAAAAAAAACAACATAACGAAGGCAATATGGCATTAAGAATTATTTCTATTCTGACTCATTAACGCGACCTCGCAATGTGAAAAATAACTCCGTTATTTTGAGGCACCTCGGGGATATGTGTGAATAAATCACATAAAAATGTTCAGTAAAGAAAGACAGAAAAATGCTGATACAGAAAAATACGTTTGGTGGGCGTTTACCTAAAACTTTTCTTGCTCTTCCCGACTAAACAGAAATACGGGTTTCCATGAACGAAAAATAAATGTACACTTTCCGTAAAGTTTTTTTTTTGGATACGGCTATTTGAATCTTCACAACTCACAAGTAAAGTAACAAAAATGTGTGCCGTCGCTTTCTCTTTTTTAATGGTTCTGATATGCCATGTTGTTTTTACGGCTGTGTAGAGTAATCGGTTTAAATCCGAGTTTCAAAACCGCAATTTTGTGCTCCAATTTCGCGGGAAATCCGTATTCTGGGCCATGCAGAATAAGAAAAGTTTTAATTAAACGCCCGCCAAACGTATTTTTTCGTTATAACATTTGTTAGCCATGAGAGGCTCAGAGGCAGGGCGACAACTCATAAGTAGAAATTGTGAAGTGGCTACACCGAAATGTGACGATATAGAAGGCAAAAGTAATTCAAAACAACAGTGAACTTTAATTGGTGCCATTTATCTCGCGTCCCGCTTCATTAAGACGTTAATTAACAGCGCGGAATGAAATCTCATTAATCATTGTTAGAGAGAATACGTCATTAATATATAGTATCGTCGCCTCCAGGATCTACTTGGGTGATCGCTAGATAGTATACTTCAAAATAAGGTTTCCGTTTTTATAACGTAGAAAAAACTATCCTAACGCAAAACTAAACCCTAATACTAACCCTCATCCTAACCCTAACCTAAACCCTAACCTAATTACTTATTTAAATTATTTTAAAAATTGATATAAAACGGAAACCTTATTTTGAAGTATACTATCTAGTAATTGCCGATCTACTTGAGAAGGCATGGGAAGATATCTCAACTTGAGAGATGTTATTGCAAGGCCATACGCAGCATTTTATCACAGTAAGGCCTATATGCCGAAAAAAGTCCCAGTTATCCAAAGAATAATTAATAATGACATTCTAAAAAAGTTGCCCCTTGCCGCCCCCCCCCCCCCTGTGTACGGCCCTGTATTATAGTTGCACCGCCCTACACACGCAAAAATCTCACATCTTATAGCAAGTCTGCCAACCAGTCGTGTTCGTATTGCTTGTCCCAAGTTGTCAACAAGTTTGAAACGATCTGTTAACTTGTAACAACCTTGTTGATATTATCAGACTTGTTGCAAGGTTGTTCCAACAAGTCCGATACAGTCATGATATAACAATATTGTTACAACCTTGTGTCATCAACCTTGTAACATTCGTGTTATATCATGACTGTATCAGACTTGTTAGAACAACCTTGTAACAAGTCTGATAATGCCATCAAGCTTGTTACAAGTTGTTAACAGCTTGTTCCAAACTTGTTACAACAACTGGGAACAAGCAGTGCGAACACAACTTCATGCCACGCGTAAAACCCTCACATCAACCTTGTCGTGTCGTCACCTTGTGACATTCTTGTGTTTTTTTTCACGACTGTATCAGACTTGTTAGAACAACCTTGTAACAAGTCTGATAATGTAAATACCTAAGTAAGTAAATATAAACTAAGTGAACTTTGTTTAGCCACGGTAGACTCATCAGGATTTTACACGCTTATGATAAAATTAATAGAATAAACAAAGGAAAATTACATATTACAGAATGCCGTGAAATTAATAATATTGGACAAAATATTTAAAATTATCGAATGAGGTTGCTGCAGTCAAACTTGAATTTATTTACAGTATTAGCTAGCCTGTCGTAACTCGGCAGGAAGGGCCTTCCACAGTACCCCACCACTATAACCAAATATGCCATCAAGTTTGTTACAAGTTGTTAACAGCTTGTTGTAAACTTGTTACAACAACTTGTCGACAGCATGTGAGCAGCTTTGTAACAACTTGTTTGCAGACCTGTAACAACTTCCGCGTTTTTGCGTGTGTATATATACAAGCGCTCTGTGCCCAAGTGTCCGTCATAACGGGGTCCGTCGTGAGGCATTGCTGGTCGTTTTCCACGCGAGCGTTGTACACGTGAGTGTGGGCAGGGTTTGGGGGAAGGAAGCACGTGCCAATGCCATGAGTCTGATGAGAAATTTATCTTGAATAATCATCGATCGAAATATTCATAGCTGTATCTCTTTTGGAAACAGCTGCCCTGATTTGATATACATCGATTTTTATCTTTGTTAGTATATAAATGCAAATAATTATATACGCATTTTTGCCACAAAAACCTCGGATACATATGAACAGCACACGTGAGTGACTTTGTCCACACATCAGAAACTATCTCACAACTTGTCATGTCAACATGATGTGTTTACAACAGGCTTGTAGCAAGTTATCAACAAGTCGTTGTCAACAAGCTGGGACCAACCAGTCTGAACACATCCTGTTGACAAGTTATTGGAACAGCATTGCTACAAGTGTTCATACGGAACGGGATGAATTGTATTCCCAGACGTATTTACGTACTTAATGTTAGTTTAACATATTGAGTTAATATTCTTTTCAATGCGCAAAATGGTCTCGAAAAAGAAAAGAAAGACCGATGGCGCCGCCTACACACGTAAAAACGCACAATTTGTTAGTCTGCAAACAAGTTGTTACAAATCTGTTCACATGCTGTCAACAAGTTTGGAACAAGCTGTTAACAACTTGTAACAAGCTTGATGGCATTATCAGACTTGTTGCAAGATTGTTAATCTAACATGTCTGCTGCAGTCTTGATATAACAATATTGTTACAGCCTTGTCTCGTCAACCTTGTAATATTCTTGTTATATCTTGACTGTATCAGACTTGTTAGAACAACCTTGTATGTTAGCCTGATAATGCCATCAAGCTTGTTACAAGTTGTTAAAAGCTTGTTCCAAACTTGTTTCCACAACTGGGGACAAGCAGTGTGAACACAACTTTACGCGTAAAAATGTCACATCTTGTAGCAAGTCTGCCAAACAAGCCGTCAACAAGTTGTGTTCGCACTGCTTGTCCCAAGTTGCCAACAAGTTTGGAACAAGCTGTTAAAAACTTCTAACAACCTTGTTGATGCTATCGTACTTGTTGCAAGGTTGTTCCAACAACTCCGATGCAGTCATGATATAGAAATATTGTTGCAACCTTGTGTCATCAACCTTGTAACATTCTTGTTATATCACGACTGTATCAGACTTGTTAGAGAACAATCTTGAAACAAGTCTGATAATGTAAGTAAGTAAGCAAGTGAACTTTATTTAGCCACGATAGACTCATCAGCATTTTACACGCTTATGATAAAATTAATAGAATAAACAAAGGAAAATTACATATTACAAATGATACATACAGCTATTTCAATTAAGGTTGTCCCCCGAGCAAAGCGGAAAAGTCGAATACGAGCGCGAAAGGCTGCTGGGAATTGATAATAAATAAATGAATTTATTAGCGATTCCCAGCAGCCTTACGCGCTCGTATTCGACTTTTCCGCTTTGCTCGTGAACAACCTTAATTGAAATAGCCGTATACATATTTACATAGCTACCTGTTTTCCATGAGTGCCGTGCAATTAATAATTTTGGATAAAATATTTAAAATTATCGAATGATGTTGCTGCATCAAACTTGAATTTATTTAAAGTACTTGCCTGTCGTAACTCGACAGGAAGGGCGTTCCACATACCGCACCATTATAACCAAATATGCCATCAAGCTTGTTGACAGCTTGTTGTAAACTTGTTACAACAACTTGTCCACAGCTTGTGAGCAGATTTGTTACAACTTGTTTGCAGAGGCATTGCTGGTCGTTTTCCACGCGAGCGTTGTACACGTGAGTGTGGGCAGGGTTTGGGGGGAGCAGGCACGTGCCAATGGCAGCTCGGCTGAGTCTGATGAAAAATTTATCTTGAATAATCATCGATCGAAATATTCATAGCTGTATGTCTTTTGGAAACAGCTGCCCTGATTTGATATACATCGATTTTTATCTTTGTTAGTGTATAAATGCAAATAATTATATACGCATTTTTGCCACAAAAACCTCGGATACATATGAACAGCACACGTGAGTGACTTTGTGCACACGTCAGAAAAATCTCACAACTTGTCATGTCAACAAGATGTGTTCGCAACAGGCTTGTAGCAAGCTTGTCAACCAATTGTAACAATACTGTCATTTTATCAAGTTGCTACAAGGTTGTCACGCACAACTTGTTGACATATTGTTAAATTGCATTGCAGGACAATAACAAGTTTTTTGGAACAACTTGTAACAAGTCTGTTGATCTCTAACAAGTCTGTTGATCTCAACAACATTGTAGCAAGTTATCAACAAGTCGTTGTCAACAAGCTGGGCCCGACCAGTGCGAACACATCCTGTTGACAAGTTATTGGAACAGCATTGCTACAAGTGTCTGCAGCTTTGTTATTATTTGTGCGTTTTACGCGTGTATGTCGATTAATATCTACGTTCATTCGATGAGGTGCAAGCTGTTGACCGAGGTGGCCTGGGAACTAGCGGTGTCATTTGGAGGGAAGATCCATGCAAATTGCGTAACCGTACTAAAATTCATCTGGTTCTACATGTTCACACAGAACCGGATTAATTATCCCGGAAGTATTTACGTACTTCATGTTAGTTTAACATATTGAGTTAGTATTCTTTTCAACGCGCAAAATGGTCTCGTAAAAGAAAAGAAAGACCGATGGCGCCGTCTACACACGTAAAAACGCACAATTTGTTAGTCTGCAAACAAGTTGTTACAAATCTGTTCACAAGCTGTCGACAAGTTGTGTTCGCACTGCTTGTCCCAAGTTGTCAACAAGTTTGGAACAAGCTGTAAACAACTTGTAACAAGCTTGATGGCATGATCAGACTTGTTGCAAGATTGTTCCAACAAGTCCTATACAGTCATGATATGACAATACTGTTACAACCTTGTGTCATATCAACCTTGTAACATTCTTGTTATATCATGATTGTATCAGACTTGTTAGAACAACCTTGTAACAAGTCTGATAATGCCATCAAGCTTGTTACAAGTTGTTAACAGCTTGTTGCAAACTTGTTACAACAACTGGGAACAAGCAGTGCGGACACAATTTCGCGCATAAAAATCTCACATCTTGTAGCAAGTTTGCCAAACAAGCCGTCAACAAGTTGTGTTCGCACTGCTTGTCCCAAGTTGCCAACACGTTTGGAACAAGCTGTTATAAACTTCTAACAACCTTGCTGATACTGTCGTACTTGTTGCAAGGTTGTTCCAACAACTCCGATACAGTCATGATATAGACATATTGTTGCAACCTTGTGTCATCAACCTTGTAACATTCTTGTTATATCACGACTGTATCAGACGTGTTAGAGCAACCTTGAAACAAGTCTGATAATGTAAGTAAGTAAGCAAGTGAACTTCATTTAATCACGGTAGACTCATCAGGATTTTACACGCTTATTATGAAATTAATAGAATAAACAAAGGAAAATTACATATTACAAATGATGCATATTTATATAGCTACCTGTTTTCCATGAGTGCCGTGCAATTAATAATTTTGGATAAAATATATAAAATTATCGAATAAGGTTGCTGCATCAAACTTGAATTTATTTAAAGTACTAGCCTGTTGTAACTCGGCAGGAAGGCCCTTCCACAGTACCCCACCACTATAACCAAATATGCCATCAAGCTTGTTACAAGTTGTTGACAGCTTGTTGTAAGCTTGTTACAACAACTTGTCGACAGCATGTGAGCAGATTTGTAACAACTTGTTTGCAGACCTGTAACAACTTCCGCGTTTTTGCGTGTGTATATATACAAGCGCTCTGTGCCCAAGTGTCCGTCATGACGGGGTCCGTCGTGAGGCATTGCTGGTCGTTTTCCACGCGAGCGTTGTACACGTGAGTGTGGGCAGGGTTTGGGGGAAGGAAGCACGTGCCAATGGCAGCTCGGCTGAGTCTGATGAGAAAGTTATCTTGAATAATCATCAATCGAAATATTCATAGCTGTATCTCTTTTGGAAACAGCTGCCCTGATTTGATATACATCGATTTTTATCTTTGTTAGTATATAAATGCAAATAATTATATACGCATTTTTGCTACAAAAACCTCGGATATATATGAACAGCACACGTGAGTGACTTTAATTGTGCACACATCAGAAAAATCTCACAACTTGTCATGTCAACAACATGTGTTCGCAACGGGCTTGTAGCAAGCTTGTCAACCAATTGTAACAATACTGTCATTTTATCAAGTTGCTACAAGGTTGTCACTTACAACATGTTGACAAATTGTTGAATTGCATTGCAGGACGATAACAAGTTTTTTGGAACAACTTGTAACATGTCTGTTGACCTCAACAACATTGTAGCAAGTTATCAACAAGTCGTTGTCAACAAGCTGGGAACAACCAGTGTGAACACATCCTGTTGACAAGTTATTGGTGCAGCTTTGTTACTATTTGTGCGTTTTACGCGTGTATGTCGGTTAATATCTACGTTCATTCGATGAGGTGCAAGCTGTTGACCGAGGTGGCCTGGGAACTAGCGGTGTCACTTGGAGGGAAGATCCATGCAAATTGCGTAACCGTACTAAAATTCATCTGGTTCTACATGTTCACAGAGAACCGGATTAATTATCCCGGAAGTATTTACGTACTTCATGTTAGTTTAACATATTGAGTTAGTATTCTTTTCAACGCGCAAAATGATCTCGAAAAAGAAAAGAAAGACCGATGGCGCCGTCTACACACGTAAAAACGCACAATTTGTTAGTCTGCAAACAAGTTACAAATCTGTTCACAAGCTGTCGACAAGTTGTGTTCGCACTGCTTGTCCCAAGTTGTCAACAAGTTTGGAACAAGCTGTAAACAACTTGTAACAAGCTTGATGGCATGATCAGACTTGTTGCAAGATTGTTCCAACAAGTCCGATACAGTCATAATATGACAATACTGTTACAACCTTGTGTCATATCAACCTTGTAACATTCTTGTTATATCATGATTGTATCAGACTTGTTAGAACAACCTTGTAACAAGTCTGATAATGCCATCAAGCTTGTTACAAGTTGTTAACAGCTTGTTCCAAACTTGTTACAACAACTGGGAACAAGCAGTGCGGACACAATTTCGCGCATAAAAATCTCACATCTTGTAGCAAGTCTGCCAAACAAGCCGTCAACAAGTTGTGTTCGCACTGCTTGTCCCAAGTTGCCAACAAGTTTGGAACAAGCTGTTATAAACTTCTAACAACCTTGCTGATACTGTCGTACTTGTTGCAAGGTTGTTCCAACAACTCCGATACAGTCATGATATAGACATATTGTTGCAACCTTGTGTCGTCAACCTTGTAACATTCTTGTTATATCACGACTATATCAGACGTGTTAGAGCAACCTTGAAACAAGTCTGATAATGTAAGTAAGTAAGTAAGCAAGTGAACTTCATTTAGCCACGGTAGACTCATCAGGATTTTACACGCTATTATGAAATTAATAGAATAAACAAAGGACAATTACATATTACAAATGATACATATTTACATAGCTACCTGTTTTCCATGAGTGCCGTGCAATTAATAATTTTGGATAAAATATATAAAATTATCGAATAAGGTTGCTGCACCAAACTTGAATTTATTTAAAGTACTAGCCTGTTGTAACTCGGCAGGAAGGCCGTTCCACAGTACCCCACCACTATAACCAAATATGCCATCAAGCTTGTTACAGGTTGTTAACAGCTTGTTGTAAACTTGTTACAACAACTTGTCGACAGCTTGTGAGCAGATTTGTAACAACTTGTTTGCAGACCTGTAACAACTTCCGCGTTTTTGCGTGTGTATATACAAGCGCTTTGTGCCCAAGTGTCCGTCATGACGGGGTCCGTCGTGAGGCATTGCTGGTCGTTTTCCACGCGAGCGTTGTACACGTGAATGTGGGCAGGGTTTGGGGGAAGGAAGCACGTGCCAATGGCAGCTCGGCTGAGTCTGATGAGAAATTTATCTTGAATAATCATCGATCGAAATATTCATAGCTGTATGTCTTTTGGAAACAGCTGCCCTGATTTGATATACATCGATTTTTATCTTTGTTAGTGTATAAATGCAAATAATTGTATACGCATTTTTTGCCACAAAAACCTCGGATGCATATGAACAGCACACGTGAGTGACTTTGTGCACACGTCAGAAAAATCTCACAACTTGTCATGTCAACAACATGTGTTCGTAACAGGCTTGTAGCAAGCTTGTCGACCAATTGTAACAATATTGTCATAGATATAGAAATATTGTTGCAACCTTGTGTCATCAACCTTGTAACATTCTTGTTATATCATGACTGTATCAAACTTGTTAGAACAACCTTGAAACAAGTCTGATAATGTAAGTAAGTAAGTAAGTAAGCAAGTGAACTTTATTTAGCCACGGTAGATTTATCAGGATTTTACACGCTTATGATAAAATTAATAGAATAAACAAAGAAAAATTACTTGTTACAAATGATACATATACATATTTACATAGCTACCTGTTTGCCATGAGTGCCGTGCAATTAATAATACTGGATAAAATATTTAAAATTATCGAATAAGGTTGCTGCAGCAAACTTGAATTTATTTAAAGTACCACACAGGTAAAAATCTTGCATCTTCTAGCAAGTCTGCTAACAAGCCGTCAACAAGTTGTGTTCGCATCTTCGCACTGCTTGTCCCAAGTTGTCAACAAGTTTGGAACAAGCTGTTAACAACTTGTAAAAACTTGTTGACATTATCAGACTTGTTGCAAGATTGTTCCAACAAGTCCGATACAGTCATGATATAACAATATTGTTACAACCTTGTGTCGTCAACCTTGTAACATTTTTGTTATATCATGACTGTATCAGACTTGTTAGAATAACCTTGTAACAAGTCTGATAATGCCATCAAGCTTGTTATAAGTTGTTAACAGTCTATTGCAAACTTGTTACAGCAACTAGGAACAACTTGTCGACAGCTTGTGAGCAGATTTGTAGCAACTTGTTTGCAGACCTGTAACAACTTCGTCGTTTTTACGTGTGTGCCCAAGTGTCCGTCATTACGAGGTCCGTCCTCACGCGTTGCTGGTCGTTTTCCACGCGAGCGTTGTACACGTGAGTGTGGGGGAAGGAAGCATGTGTCAATGCCAGCTCGGCCGAGTCTGATGAGAAACTTATCTTGAATAATCATCATCGATGGAAATATTGACATAGGTGTATCTCTTTTGGAAACAGCTGCCCTGATTTGATACATCGATTTTTATCTTTGTTAATTATATAAATGCAAATACACAATACATACGCATTTTTGCCACAAGAACCTCGGATACATATGAACAGTACACGTGACTTACTGAGTCTGCACACATCAGAAAAATCCCACAATTTGTCAACAAGATGTACTCGCAACAGGCTTGTAGCAAGCTTGTCAACCAATTGTAACAATGCTGTCATTTTATCAAGTTGCCACAAGGTTGTCACGCACAACTTGTTGACAAGTTGTCGAATTGCAGGACGATGACAAGTTTTTTGGAAGAACTTGTAACAAGTCTGTTGAGCTAAACAACCTTGTAGCAAGTTGTCAACAAATCGTTGACAATTTGTCAACAAGCTGGGAGCAAGCAATACGAACACATCTTGTTGACAAGTTGTTGGAACAGCATTGCTACAAGTCTGCTGCACATTGGTTGTGCGTTTTTACGCGTGTATGTCGGTTAATATCTACGTTCATTCGATGAGGTGCAAGCTGTTGACCGAGGTGGCCTGGGAACTCGCGGTGTTACTTGTTACTTGAAGGAAAGATCCATGCAAATGGGGAGCCATGCTCAAATTCAGCTGGTTCTACATGTTCACAATGAACCGGATCTCACATCTTGTAGTAAGTCTGGCAACAAGCTGTCAACAAGATGTGTTCGCACTGCTTGTCCCAAGTTGTAAACAAGTTTGGAACAAGCTGTTGTAACAGGCTTGATTTCATTATCAGACTTGTTGCAAGATTGTTCTAACATGTCTGCTACAGTCTTGATATAACAACATTGTAACAGCCTTGTCTCGTCAACCTTGTAATATTCTTGTTATATCTTGACTGCATCAGACTTGTCAGAACAACCTTGTGACAAGTCTGATAATGCCATCAAGCTTGTTACAAGTTGTTAACAGCTTGTTCCATACGTGTTACAACAACTGGGAACAAGCAGTGCGAACACAGCTTGTGAACAGATTTGTAACAACTTGTCTGCAGCCCTGTAACAACTTGTGCGTTTTTACGTGTGAACAGAACAGAATCGGCACACATCAGAAAAACCTCACAACTTGTCAACAAGATGTGTTCGCAACAGGCTTGTAGCAAGGTTGTCAATCAATTGTAACAATGCTGTCATTTATCAATTTGCTACAAGGTTGTCACTCGCAACTTGTTCATTGACAAATTGTTGAATTGCGGAACGAAAACAAGTTGTTGGAACAACTTGTAACAAGTCTGTTGACCTCAACAACATTGTCGCAAGTCATCATCAACAAGTCGTACGCGTTGTCAACAAGCTGGACCCAACCAGTGCGAACACATCCTGTTGACGAGTTGTTGGAACAGCCTTGCTACAATTTGGCTGCAGGTTTGTCACAACTTGTGCGTTTTTACGCGTGTATGTCGGTTAATATCTACGTTCATTCGCTGAGGTGCAAGCTGTTGACCGAGGTGACCTGGAAACTAGCGGTGTCACTTGGAGGGAAGATTCATGCAAATGGGGAACCATACTCAAATTCATCTGGTTCTACATGTTCACAATGAACCGGATTACACGCGTAAAAATATCATATCTTGTAGCAAGTCTGCCAACAAGCCGTCGATCAACAAGTTGTGTTCGCACTGCTTGTCCCAAGTTGTCAACTAGTTTGGAACAAGCTGTGAACATCTTGTAACAACCTCGTTGATATTATCTATCAGACTTGTTGCAAGGTTGTTCCACAAGTCCGATACAGTCATGATATAACAATATTATTACACTGACATTGTGTCGTCAACCTTGTAACATTCTTGTTATATCGTGACTGTATCAGACTTGTCAGAACAACCTTGTACCAAGTCTGATAATGCCATCAAGCTTGTTACAAGTTGTTAACAGCTTGTTCCAAACTTGTTACAACAACTGGGAACAAGCAGTGCGAACACAACTTGTCGACAGCTTGTGAACAGATTTGTAACAACTTGTTTGCAGACCTGTAACAACTTGTGCGTTTTTACGTGTTTAATTACGAGACGAAAAGTGTACATACGAAACCGGATGAATTGTAGTCCCAGAAGTATTTACGTACTTGATGTTAGTTTAACATATTGAGTTACTATTCTTCTCAATGCGCAAAATGGTCTCGAAAAAGAAAAGAAAGACCGAAGGCGCCGCGTCAACACACGTAAAAAACGCACAAGTTGTTACAAGTCTGCAAACAAGTTGTTACAAATCTGTTCACAAGCTGTTTAACAACTTGTAACAAGCTTGATGGCATTATCAGACTTGTTACAAGGTTGTTCTAACAAGTCTGATACAGTCGTGATATAACAAGAATGTTACAAGGTTGTATAAACAGTACTGTCATATCATGATTGTACCAAACTTGTTGGAACAACCTTGCAAGAAGTCTGATAATACCATACCATCAAGCTTGTTACAAGTTGTTTAACAGCTTGTTCCAAACTTGTTGAGAACTTGGGACAAGTAATGCGAACAGAACTTGTTGGCAGACTTGCTACAAGAAGGGAGCCGTTCCATTGGGAGCACTGAACCTTTCATTCATAGAAGCTGCTAGAGTATTTTTGTTTCGTTCCCCGCAGGAACGAAACGGTACTGTATTTGGTTTCGAGCAATTATCACAGGAAAGTGACGTCAGAGATCAAAGTTATCCAATCCTTTGCCAGTATTCTTGCTCAAACGTCAATTACATTTAGAATCGTCCAATGAGATGACCGCTCCTAGCATAAGAAGGTTTTTGGAGGCGTGGCGTATAATTCGGAAATCTTAGTTAATTATATATCAACCTATGAGAACATGCTAACTTAACCTGAAGTTCAGGCCCTAATTTTAAATAGGGCCTGACACAAAACCTGTCTAGACCGTGGGACGCTCACATGTTATTTTTAGACACAGCATGCAATATGATTGACAAGTGTTGTAGATTTCGTTACACAAAAAAAAATATATTCTCATGAACATGTCCGCAGAGGTCCGCAGAGTGTGCATTTTGCTTTTCAATTAAACTTAAAAATTCAAGGTATTTTTATAGAATTAAGAGTCAGTTTCTCTATTTAACCGAACAGCAAACAAAGATTCAATTAGTTTTGTGTACAGCTTGACTGCCAAGCTTTCTCAAGGTCTCAACTTGCTGGACGCGGATATACCAGGGATATACTCTAACGGGCTAACAACAGCAACAATAAAATTCTCAATCGTACCACGAAGAAGGCGATGTAGCTCAGAAAACAACGCCGGTAGGACCTGATATTAAAAATAAGACTTTTGCGGGCGAAGCCAGTTGGCAGAACATCTTGGCTGTCAACAACAAGCTTTCGAATAGATGACTAGTTTGGCTGTTCTTTCAGCGTCGTGTGTCCAAAATTCGTCAAAGATTTTGATGAAGACCTTTCAAATACTACTTGTTTGATTTATTTTCTGCCATAAAGCATAAAAGAAAAGAAATTCGAAGAAATCGATAATGGATTTGTTACGTGCGTTTGACCTTTATATTACTGTATTATTGTCCCCTTGAGCCCTTGACCGAGCTATTTTTAAAACTGTTGTTTATGTGAACTTGCAACCAATCAAAATCTTAGGGCCTGAACTTCAGGTTAAATCTACAGGCACGATGATTTATATATTTATTATATAGTTTTCTTTGTTTTTCTTCATTTTAAATACTACTACTGTATTTCTGGACCGCTCGGCCCCTCCAGGTAATGAAAATTTATACTAATACGTGCAAAAAATTACCAGAACCCGCCCGCCTCACAAAATGAACCAATTTCATTGCTCGACATATACAAGTGATCTATGGTCACAACCGCTAATTTAATACAGACGTCTGGTATTTCTATAATTATATTGGAACGAAACATTATTTCTTTTTTTAAAGAAATATTTTCTTGTTGACTGTGTAGTAAAGTATATAGCAAATTTACCATAATGTAATTGCACGCGCGAACTCACGCGTGTCAAAGTCCCGCGTGTAGAATAATTAGACTGCTCGCTTCCTTGGCCTTTGACGTTTCTGTTCTACAAATTTGAACTGATTTGTAAAGCCGAAAAACAGGTACGTTTATGTTTTTATTGTACTATTTTTATGCACAAATACAAGCTGTATATATCTTATTGATGGCCTTGTCAGATAATGTGTTATAGTGTGTTTAATTGTGGTTTTATTATGCCGAATGTATTGTGGCTTCTGACCGCTTCGCTTCCTGGATGGACAAATTTCGATACAGCTTTGAGTTTTATTATAAGTTTATTGTTACAATTGGCAGGAATATAGACATTTAATTGGAACTGGTTTCAAGTAGAAATATAAGCTACATTTTGTTTAAATGGAAACAGCAAAATTTATATTACCAAAGCCAATATTACGCTTTTTTGAAAGCAAGTCACCGATGTGTGCAAAATCTGTAATTTCGCATTCTCGATATATTTCTATAGCAAGGTCATAGATTATAATTAGTACTGAAACAAAGCTGTGTCTTAATGTTTAGCTTTTAAACTAAAGTTTGTGTCAACTGTTTTCGAGGAGAAACTCGGAAATTAGCCAGAATTTATATTGTCCTAAAATAGTTCGAACTTTCCGCTAATTTCGATCCATATTGGCGAATTTCGTCCTTATATAAAATCCGGTGTTTATGAATAGGAGAATAATTTATGAGGTCTATGAGTATTTCCCATGATTAGTTTACATCTTTGTGGGCTTTGTACTCTACAGAAACAGCTTTATTATTTGATTGACCACATAATACAAATATGATATTTTTGCTGCCTAAAGACGGCCGGATATATTCATCTGAGCAAGTACTGTATTATAAATGCACTAAAAATAGTTGTCCTCGATGATAATTTGAATAATAATGGGATTTTGGTTTTAAGGCGTATGACGAGTTTCAATTTTTTTCCGTTTCAATTTGCAATGCAATTAACATTGTTTGTGGCAATTAGAATTTTCTAGGTAAACATTCCAAGTTGTAATAAATTATTTGCCTCAAAAATGTCAAATGTCTGGTTTGCAAGTTAAGAATTCGAAAGCTTGCAATAAATTCAGCTATTTCTTGCATCAATTTATTAACATCTAATTGTGATTAGAATTAAAAATTTATAATTATGGAGTTGATATATGATTGGATATTGCACCTTTCTTGTTTATTTAGGCGAAAATGCCGCCTGGAGTTGACAAACAATCATCTGGTGCTAAAGTAGTCAAAGAGGGATGGTTGCACAAGCGAGGTTTGTTGTTCTCAACATCATCGATTAAACTATTACCGTTTGCAAGCTTTCATGAAGCATGTATTTGAAACTAGGTTTCAAAACATTTCTTACCTGAAGTTTGTCAATCGAAGCTTTTTGTTTTGCCCTACCTGCATTTTTATATACCTGTAACACTTGCATTTCCTTTACTGGAGCCATTTTCCCTTGATTTAGCCAGTATGAAACATTCAAGGGGGCAAGGGGGGGGGGTCTCGTCACGAAATCACGAAGATCATTTTTCGATTTCACGAGTCATGAAAAACAAAATTTCATTTTCACGATTTTTAGAAACACAGAAGCATAACAAAGTCTGAAACCATTTAACACATACTGACTTTAACATTAGAGCCGTTTAAAGGACAATGGAAATCATTGCGAGGCATTACGAGCATCGTACAGTGGTTCACGAAGTTTACGAAGAGGTACGAAGGTATACGATAACGACGTTTACCGATGAAACCTCGACCTCAAGTTAAACGAAGAAACCTCAAGAAAGACAACCGCGGGAAGCAAATTTATAAATTTTTCCCCATAATATTACATTTGGGCCGAGTTTAAACGTAAATATTCACAAGTTAGGGTAAAATATTTGTAAATTCAAGACCATAGCTAGCCTTTTAGCTCTTCACGATTCATGGAACGCATATTAATCACGATTCACGAAATGGTATTTCTTTAAATCACGAAGCACGAATAATTGCTAATCACAAGTCACGAAAATACCCTTGCCCCCCCCCCCCCCTTCAAAGGTAAAAATTTTGCATGCAAAAGAATTCCTTTGATGCCAAACCCACAAATGTTATTTTGTCAAAACAAAAAGTTTTGGTTGACAAACTTTGCAGGAGAAAGATTTTTGAAACATGGTTTCAAATGCACACTTCAAGGATGCCTGCAAATGGTAGTAGCTTTATTTATGGCTCTATCATTTCTAGACTGTTCTCCTTAGAGGTCCAGTAAAGGGCTTAACCCTTTACAGGTAAACTACATCAAGCGTTCGTCTTTTTAGATCCTAACTTGATTGCAATTATCCTCATTACCTTTGCATATTTGAAAAACTCCCTTGCAAACAGAAGAGGAAGTTAGGAACTTGTAACAGGAATTTAAGAACTTCTGACAGGAATTGAGGAAAATTTATGTAATTGACTTCATGCCTGTCAGGTGTTGGGATTGTTTACGTTTTGAACCGCTACATTTGTAAAATATGATATACTAACTGAATATCTAACACATTTCTGGTTTGCTACGGTTGTAAATAAATATAAAGAAGATACGTTTCAATTAAAAAAAGTTTGAAAGATGCAAAATTTGGGCAATGTTTATATCTGGGGGTTCCCCTTTGTTATGAGCAGAACTGATGCGCAGAATGGAGTGGAAATCATCTTTAAAAAAAGTAGAAAATTTCAATTTTTCTAAATACATTTTGCAATATTTACCAACCAGATTTAATAAGAGTCGTACTCAAGACGTAAATGATGCCATCAAAAACTTAAGATTTCCTGTTCTGTGGTCGAATTTTATTCATCAGCCGACAATCTTGTCATCTTGATAATAATATGAAAATTTTCGAACAATTGGGTTTGAGCAAATTAGCGGACACTCAATTTTGACAATATGAAACATAACTCAAAAAAATTCTTTTGTGCCCGGTCCCCCTGTCGCAATTTGCAAGCTTCAAGCAAAGCGGGCAAGTTTGGACCATGCAAGGCTAACTGCTAAAAAACTCAATATACATGCATGATTGGCTTTTAGGAACATCAGCAAACTTTACTCATCAAGACAAGAGTGCTGCCACTCAGTGGGCTAATTTGTTATTGGTCTAATGTTACTACAGGAAGAAACCTAAACTACATATCTAACTTTATTGATACTGGATAGTTCTATCAGCTTTAAACTGTTCTTCTAAGAAGTCCATTTATTTAATTAAGTTGCATTTCACTAAATACGGTACCTTAATATTTTTGTGACAAGAAAATACACCCTTCCGGAAAGTATATCACTTTTGTGTATTTGAGATCAGTTAAATCCAAGCCCCTCAATCACGAAAACAAGACTCTATAGCCAAAGTGATATACTTTCCAGAAGGGTCTATTCTACTCATCAAGAGGGGAGTGCTAGTGCTTAATGGTCAAACAGTCAACCTTGGCAATTTTTGTGATTGGTTGATGTGTAGCCAAATTATAATCATACAACTGCAAATTGCAGGAGACGTCAGTCAGTAGCACCATCAGGATTATATTTTAGGGATCAAATTTGTGAGTCAACATATTTAGAGGTGGGGGGCAGCCACCCTACCCTTGCCCCCCCCCCCCCTGCTTGGTGGCACCACTGCTGTCAGTGATACCAAACCAGTATTTAAAAAATACACTTATCTTTCATGTAGGTGAATACATAAAAAATTGGCGCCCACGATACTTTCAGCTTTGGAGTGATGGAAGTTTCCTCGGGTATAAAGACCCTGCCAAGACAGACGAAGAGCCTCTGAACAACTTTACCGTTCAAAGTAAGTACTCAACCATCTTAGGCATAAAGGGGATTGATTTGAAATTCTTTTTGAGGACCATTAGAGAATATAACATAATTTGTTGTTAGAAAATTTTCTTGACTTTTCCCAGCATTTGACTGAATTTCCATGGATTTCTAAGTTTTTGGGTGGGGCAATTGTTGACTTAGGAGAGTCATGTGCATTAATGGGTTAATCAAGCTATCTGCCAATGTGCCTAATTGTTAACCATTAGGCTGCATTGCTTCCAAATGCGCATGACTTTACTATTTCCCATTGTAACACAGGGTTCCCAAGCTATTTCACCAGCTATTTCTCCTGACTATAAACAAAATATTTCTTCCTTACAAAAGAAATGGGAATAGGTTTATATAACATAAATTTTACATAATATTCTTCGCTTTATATTTGGATATGACAAAATCTGCAAAACTACTCCAAAAAAATTGTCACAGGGAGATGGCCCGAACCCCCCCCCCCCCTCTTTGGTGAGATACATTTGGCACTACATAACTGCACAAGTCACCAAATTCCATTGGAAACCCTGCTAATGCCATACTATTTTACTCTGTCTTAAGCCCAAGTCACACTACACAACAATAATGATACGAAAACTTGTAAACACGCAATGATTGGTCAAAAAAATTATGTTGGTGTCCACACACAATGAAAATAATAAAATTATCACTTGATGATAATGATTTTAAAATTGCTCACCCGAGCGATTTTTTTCAGTCGGACAATAACGATAAATTTTTTTACCAATCAGTGCACATATACATGTTATTGACATCTTTGTGTAGTGTGACCGGGCCTTAAGGCCAGATCGACAATTGATGGCAGAGTCTTGCACATTATTTGTAACTGGTTAAATATTTACATATTAATTCTTTCATTTTCAGAATGTCAAATAGTTAGGGCAGAGAAACCAAAACCTCACTCATTCTTTGTCAGGTAAAATAAAAATACTTTGTTTCACTTTCACATTTATTGCTTGTAACATTGAAACTACTGTACGTGTATTAACATTTGTTTCACCTCAGGTGTTACCAATGGACCACTCTTGTTGAAAGGCTTTTCCATGTCGAAACTAATCATGAAAGGTACGTGTGAGTTGACGCAGTGGCGGACACTTCGCAAATGGGGGGATTTTGGTTGAGAACATATGACCACCTTTTGTAGCTGGAAATTTTGGTTCTTTAAACTTTTTTGCCTTAAATTTCATGGAAATATAGCTTTATTTATTTATAGCCTACTAATGCTTTCATGCTTCAAGTATTATTGTTACAATGTTGTTACACTGTTATCCAGCTATTGTTCAAAGGCTTTCAGAAATCATTGGGGCAGTTACCCCTCCCCCTCCCCCCTCCAAGTCTGATACAGTCATGGTATAACAGGAATGTTACAAGGTTGACGACACAAGGTTGTAACTGTTGGAACAACCTTGCTACAAGTTTGATAATATCAGTCAACAAGGTTGTTACAAGTTGTTGGCAGACTTGCTACAAGATGTGAGATTTTTACATGTGGCTGGATCGTTTATCCTATAAACACACAAACCAAATTGTATATACAATATGTTAACAAAAGGCATGCAGATTACGGACGTGGCTAACATGCGAGTTTCCTTTGTTAGACAGGCTGGTACGAACAAGGCACTAGTCTGTCGGTCACTCACTCTGCCTAGCTTTCTCTTGTATAATCAACCATACAATATTGTGTCCTAGGGAGGAATGGCTACGATGTATCCATGAGGTATCAAATAATATTCACGCAAAAGAACAATCGCTACCAGAAGAAAAGCATGTCTTGGAAGGGAAAAAAATGGTAAAGGAGACTAATTGAGATACATCAAAATTTTCCTGTAATATCCTGTTTTGAACTTGTATTAATTTTTTTATTAGTCATTAGAAGATTTTTCAATTTTAAAAGTTCTTGGAAAAGGGACTTTTGGAAAGGTATTGTATACGAGATATATGTCTAGTGTGGGCTCCAATCCTGTTGGCTGGATATAATGGGCGAAAGACTAAATTTTGATCTAGGCAAGAAGAACAAAATCCATCACCACAGCTAGAAAGAGCATGTTAAATTAGTAAAATTGCAAAGTTTGGCCGCGAAATGTTGTAAAATGCGGAAATTATATATAGCCCTGCGAAATTTGCAAATTTTGTATTAATTTGTATTACGCGCGGGAAAATGCACCGCATTTGGGCCGAAAGTGGTGCAAATTCCCGCTCGTAATACAAATTAATACAAAATTTGCAAATTTCGCAAGTCTATATTTTCCGCATTTTACAACATTTCGCAACCAAACTTTGCAATTTTACTATTTTTAACATGCTCTTTCTTTCGGATATAATTTTTGCCCTTTTTCAACATTTAGTTAATTTGTTTTAGGTTATGCTTGCTAAACAGAAAAGTTCTGGTGAACTCTTCGCTTTAAAAGTTTTGAAGAAAGAAGTGATTGTTGCAAAGGTGAACGTTGTATAATTAAAAATTTTGCATACATTTTTTTGAATTTTGTATACTGTTTATATTTTGTATTTTGTAATAAGTGTGTATTCTTTGTTGTTCTATAGGATGAAGTCGTTCACACCTTAACAGAAAACAGAGTATTACAACAGTGCAAACATCCGTTTTTGACGGTAAGCTAGGTAGAGCCTCACATTGGTCAAATTTAGCAAAATGTCTCCCACTCGTGCGGGCTCGTATTGTCCGCGGACATTTTACGGAAAGTGGCCAGTTATTTGAAAAATGCGAAAGTTCTGCGAAAGTTTCAATTTTTCACCGCAGGTCCGCTGAAAATGCGAGCCTGCGGTACTGGGAGAAAATTTGCTGAATATGGCCAGCGTGGCCTGTATCATAATGTGGAGCGGTCAAATTTTTCCCCAAGAGAGAAGGTTGATTTGTTTTTTGCGATTAGCTAGGGCATTCGCTGCATCCTTGAATGAATCCTTGATGTCATCTTTGTCAAATCTCGTCGAGTGTTTACAGGAATGGCGAAACTTAGAGCATTGACTTTTCTTCGGATTTGGGTGACTAATTTAAATGAGCCTTTCTCACTGCCAATTTTTGGGGTACTACCTCTCCCACATTTGAGAGTCTCCGCGCCACGAAATGCAACTTTTTAGTATTATATAGTTGTTTGTGTGTAATGGTAAATTTACAGTTCAACTTTTAAAAGTCGCTGTTCGCGTTGTTTGAATTGTCTATAGAATCTTTCACCAAGGCAGACAGTGTACCACAAATGGCGGATTTGGGCCTTCGTGAGAAAGGCTAATTGTGAACAAAGTCATGCAAAAGCCTCTTTCGAACAAACTATTTAAAAGCCTAGTTTTCATATGTCGCCATCCATCGGCAATGTTCAACTATACTGTTTATTGCACCCTTACCTCAATGACCTCGTCTTCATGTGATTATTTTCTCATGTTTCATGTTTCATGCAAATAGGATTAAAAAGAGAAACATTATACAAATAATAAATGTTTATGAGTGCAATGGTAAGAATATTAAGGGCCCACAGTAATTGGTTTTAACTGTTGTGGTGTCCCAGCCATCTGACTGTATGTATTGTACTGTACTGAACTATATATATATACTGTACTGTCTTGTGTTAGATTGTATCGTTTTGTTTTTTGTATTGTACTGTATTGTTATTGTTTTGTATTGTATTATATGGTATATATATAAATGGCGAAGTTATATAAATAAATAAATAAATATTTTCATGAGGTGAAAGATGAAATGTTCCATTCAACGAGGCGACAGCCGAGTTGAATGGAACATTCCATCTTTCACCGAACGAAAATATTCTTACCATTGCACGAATAGAAACATTCATTATTTGTTTTATATAATACCAAAATAGACTAATATTAAAAGGTTTACTGTAAGCTCCCGCCATTTTGACGAGTCGTATTTGCATTAAATCCCATTTACTGAGTTTCGAATATCGGGTTAAAATAAACTGCGATCACCGTACGAGAAGCATTTTGACGGATGCGATTTATCGAAAACACAAAGAGCATGCAATGGAATAAAACGTATAGTGCATACAATTGCACTCGCATGCAATAGTGCAATGGAACGTATTCCATTGCACTCTTGGGAAATGGAATTTTCTATTCAATATCACGTGACCATAAACAGCCAATTAAACGATCAGAATTCAATAAGGTATTATATAAAAAGTATTCATGCACAAAACATGGGGATATAACGTTGATGTGCGCGGCTGTTATGCTAAAAAAGGCAAATATTTCAGTTATATTTTTGTAGCATTCCTTGACATGACCGGGCATTCTTTGCAGTGTAATATACTTAGGGACCGTTCATTATTTATACCCGGGGTTGGTACCGAAGAGATATGGGTTGGGTAATCAAGTTTTTGACTAGATCATGGGTTGGGTAAAAACATTTATGGCTGTTTGTCAGCTATAAAATAAAATAAAACCAAAATTACCAAGCATTGGAAAATATGAAGAAAAATGTGTACAATACATTCTGTACCAAAATAGACCATCCGTGATTGAGGAAGGACTCTATCATTGCCATCAGCAGGAACGTGATTGCTTTGGCACACTCGGTGAGTTTGAGTGTGAGTGAGCTTTTAGAATTTAGGCAACTTGATTTCTGTCACCATAATCTTGTGTGTTTAATTATTATGGAGTACAGTAACATATGGGTTGGGTAAACATTATTTTTACCATTGTTGAGGTTGGGTAAATAAAAAATGTACAGTGTTTTTCGCTTCTCTTCGGTACCAACCCCAAGTATAAATAATGAACGGTCCCTTATTCCAATCTAGCTTGTGTTCTGATTATTTCTATTACTTATTCTTTTTAAAACATTTTCCAGGAGCTGAGATATTCATTTCAAACACGAGATAGATTGGTTTTTGTTATGGAATATGTAAATGGTGGGGAGGTAAGGGTAACAATGACTATAGATGTATGTCTTCAAAAAAACACTAATCCCGTAAAACCAACAGCAATAACGACAAAGACAATGGATCTATTACCTAATGAACAGAATTTTGATCTGGACAAGTCTAGACAAAAATGTCATCACAGCTTGAAAGAGCATCACAAAATTAGTAATATTCCGAAGTTTCGTTGCGAAATGTTGTAAAATGCGGATAATATAGCCCTGCGAAGTTTGCTGTTTTTCAGTCATTTTGTATTACGTATACGGAAATTGATACCGCTTTCTGAAAAAAGGTATCAATTTCCCGTGCGTAATACAAAATGACTGAAAAACGGCAAACTTCGCAGGGCTATATTCGCATTTTACAACATTTCACAACGAAACTTCGGAATATTACTAATTTTGTGATGCTCTTACAAGCTGTGATGAAATTTTTGTCTACACTTGTCTAGATCAAAATTTTGTTCATTAGGTAGTAGGTCCATTCTTGGAATTTTTTTTTTCGGGGGGGGGTGGTGGGGGGCGAAATTTTCAACATGTATGCCAAAGGGGTCTAAGTTATGCAAATCTTTCAGAACATGGACCACTAGCCTGCGGTGCAGACACTTCGTATTTCATGATCATGAAATACGAAGCGTCTGCACCGCAGGCTAATGGACCACTTGAAGAAATGAAGTTTATCAGCTTTGCTGTCATGTGCTGGCCTCAGTCAATAAAGTTTTATTATTATTAATATTATTATCATCTGCCAATACCAACTGGTCACACTCATCGCCATTGCTAATACCACTCATTTGCTGATATCAAGCAAAAAATTGTCTAAAATATGTATTTTCCCTATGTAAAGTACCCTATTTTTTTTGGATATGAAACTGGACCACAGCATTTCATGTTCGGTCTTATTCGAAAAAACTGTCCTGCATTTACAAGTTACAACAAAATTATACAGTCTTTAATTATAGAATATGAAACTCAGAGATCAAAACTATTTAACCCTAATTTTTTTGGAATGTTATTTTATGTTACAGTTATTCTTCCATCTGTCAAAAGAACGTGTATTTAGTGAAGAACGAAGCAAATTCTACGCGACAGAAATTATCCTTGCTGTGCAATATCTACATGAGCAAGGCGTGGTGTATAGAGATCTCAAGGTAGTTCTAGTTCATTTGATTATCGATCAAGGCAAGAAGAACGAAACCCAACACCACAGCTGGAAAGAGCATCTTAGAATGAGTAAAACTGCAGAGATTGGTTGCTAAATGTTGTAAAATGAAGAAAATATAGCCCCGTGAAGTTCGCAAATTTTGTATACACTCGTAAAAATAACCATTTTCGGCTCAAAAATGGTTATTTTTCACGCGCGTAATACAAATATATACAAAATTTGCGAATTTCACAGGGCTATAATTTCCTCATTTTACAACAATTCGCAACCAAACTTTGCAATTTTACTCATTTTAAGATGCTCTTTCCAGCTATGGTAATGGTTTCGTTCTTCTTGTCCAGATCAAAATTTAGTCTATTGCTGGTATCGTCCATCATACTTGCAGTTATTAAAATTAAGAATTAAATTTTGGATATTAATATTCCAGCATGTAAGTGGTTGTAATCCTTTACCGGCTGATAGTTTCAGCAAATACAAAACTAATGTTATTCCAAGACGATTCAGCTTGCCCGGTGTGGATGCACACTCAGAGTAACATCACAAACATCATATTTACCTGAGTAAAAACTGTATATTTCGAATCTATTTTGATTCATCTTCAGCAGTATCTTCACAAGATAACTTGAAAAGATACTGCTGAAGATACCTTGTAAAGATACTGCTGAAGATGAATCAAAATAGATTCGAAATATACAGTTTTTAAAATAGATGTTTTGTTAAAATACATACTTTTTTTCGGAATAACATTAGTTTTATGAGTGGTTGTAAATTGAGCAGAAAGTCGGCGCATTCATAGTACGTGATGCGTAACTATTCTTCCTGCACCAGTCTGGGGTGGACCCAGCTGGTCATATCTGGTAGGGAGGGGTCTGAGCGTTGATCATGGCTTGGGGAGGACCGTTGACAGATCATTACACCCTCCCTCTAGTGGGGATACGCTCCACCATGGATATACACACCTCCACCCACCCACTTTGCACGCTCCCCCCCCCCCTCAGCAAATCAATCCCTGGCACCATTAGTTAATCAAACCATCAATCATTCACAGCAAGAATTGGGTATAATATCCGACATGTTTTCCACTTGCTACTTTGGTCAGGTCTAAGTCATTAAATGAAATCCCAAAGGAAATACATTCACGGATGAAACGTATTGTATATTTCAGTTGGAAAATCTGTTGCTTGATGCAGATGGTCATATAAAGATAACAGATTTTGGTTTGTGTAAAGAAGAAATTACGTATGGTGCCACAACCAGGACATTCTGTGGTACTCCCGAATACCTCGCTCCTGAAGTAAGTCCTCCATTTTTTAGCGACATACCATTAGCCTGGGTCAAACGAGCTTGAGAATTGGCGGGGGTTGATAAACGAGAGTTTCCATGAGAGTTGACTGGATATCAGATCAAACGAAAGTACTCGAAAGACTAGTGGAATAGTAATGTCTTCACGAAACCTAGCAAAAAGTGTAAAGGAGATTACGAGAGGGAGTAAACTATGGAGTAAACTCAGTAGAACTTCTGTTAGGCAAAAAAATACGTGAGTTTCCTGCTTTCCGACCTTACCTAGCTTTTGGGCGCCGAAATCCTGATTCTAAACTTTTTTATTAGATCATGCTTGTGGAAAATGGAAATTTGAGGCAATATTAGGGAAATGTATCTTTGGATGTGGACACACTGACTAAACGAAGTTAACAAACATGGCGTCCGGCCGCTACCCTACCTATGTTTTTACAAGAAGAAATAGGAAACCCACATATTTTTTTGGCCTTACAAGGAAGATGTGATGAAATTGCTTTAACAGTTTTTTTTTTATATAAACTTTATTTGAATGTTTGCCCCGAAAGCCATGCTTATCAAGGGGGCTCACATATATCAAGGGGGCTCACATATATCAAGGGGGCTCACGTATTTCTTATATATCAAGGGGGCTCACGTATTTTTCCCGTATTTCTTCTTATTTTGCCATGTAGGCACATAGGGGAAAAAATTCGTTCATGAAATCGCCCGGTCCTAAATTTGACAACTTTTTATCGACAAGATTCCTGACTGTCAAATCAACCAAACAAAACTTGTATAATTACATTTTCTATTACTCGCTGAGCTTTAAAACTGCTATTTGAGCCATTTGAAAATTGTGTAACAAACTTTTGATATGATTACGACACACATATTTGATTTAGAAGAGATATGTTTTGTTGAGTTTGTCTAACACACACACCTCTTCAATGTCTTCAGTGATACACGAACTACACGTAAAACTCGTGTAACTGACATTATTCAAAGCTGCGTGTAATCGTATGTAATTAGAATTTACTTTGTACAATGCTTCGTGTAGTTGTGAGTGGAGTGCACAAGCACGCAGGAGTCACAAAACCTTTGAGCCCCGCTGTGACTACTCAACTAACTAAAGTAATCAACTAACCAACTGCTTCGGTCAATGTAGGTTTTAGAAGACAGTGATTATGGTCGTTCGGTAGATTGGTGGGGTGTGGGGATCGTCATGTACGAGATGATGTGTGGTAGACTCCCCTTCTACAGTCGAGATCACGAAGTGTTGTTCGAACTCATACTTACGGTAAGAAACCGAAGATGCGAATATTTATGTGTTTTCGTGATAAATAGTGAGAAGGTATTTTTTTGCAAAAATGTCCATGCAGGAGGATGTAAAGTTCCCACAACGTTTGTCGGATCTAGCCAAGTCGGTGTTGGCGGGATTATTGGAGAAGAACCCCAAGAAACGGTAAGTACAGAACCAAACAGCTGTCAGTACTGTCCTCCGTTCAGTTGTATCTTTCTGATAAACTGTAACATTTTCATTCAATTCGTTTTGCTCCTCTAGGTTGGGAGGTGATATATCTGACGCTAATCAAATTAAAAGACATCCATTCTTCACCGATGTGAGATGGGATGATGTCCTCGACAAAAAGGTTCTTCCTCGCTTTGTATCATTGTTCATTTATGCTGGATTATATATTTACGTGATCTAGTCACTGGTTAAAAACATAGCCGGAATTTTGAGTAGGGGAGCCCTCCCCCGAGACCGTTTAACACCTCCTCTGAGACTTTTGCACCTCCTCTGTATATTCATGATGCACTTGAAAAATGTTAAATGGTAGATCAAAGCACAGTTGCATAAACTGTAATCAAGTTCAAAATTTGATTCAAACTTGATAGCTAACTTTAATGTTTGCAAATGATGGATCAAAATTTGACTCAAACTTGACTGCTAACTTTAATGTGTGCAAATGATGGATCGAAATCAAAATTTGACTCAAACTTGATAGCTAACTTTAATGTTTCCACTTTCCAATACAATTAGTAAAATAGAGCCTGATACTCAGGCCAAACGGTTCTAACGCATTGTGCCACCATGAATAGCTTTAGCTCATCTTTCGATGTACACTTGTTTGCAGATGAAACCTCCGTACATACCATCGATAAAAGATGCCCAGGACACATCTTACTTTGACAGAGAATTCACGGAACAACCAGCTCAACTCACACCGCCTGGCGCTGGAGGTACGTGGCTTTGTTGTACAGTAACTTACACGGCTTCTATGTACACCAGACGTAATCATTTTCTATTTGTAAATGTTAATTATCTGTCTACCATACCGCACCATGACACCATACCACATCACACCATATCACACCATGCCATACCACATCACACCATACCAATGATACCAAATTTACCATATACACCTATGATACCATATACACCTTGCCACGCCACACCATACCACATCACACCATACCAATGATACCAAATTTACCATATACACCTATGATACCATATACACCTTGCCACGCCATACCACATCACACCATACCACAACGTATCACCATATCATATCACACCATGCCACACTATACCATACCATACCACATCACACCATACCATATCATACTATTCCTTGCCACGCCATACCACATCACACCAACCACACCATACTTCATCACAACTTATCACACCATATCATATCGCACCATGCCACACTATATCATACCACACTATATCATACCACACCATAATATACCATACCACATCACACCATACAGTAGGTACACACCATACTACACCACACTCGCCTGACTGTTGGAAGTACGTGTTTGATACATCTAGGGGCAGAATGTCTTACCTAGTTGTACACTTATCTACCATACCATACCATACCATACCTTACCATACCTTACCATATCATGTACCATACCATATACCATACCATGTACCATGCCATGTACCATACCATGTACCATACCATGTACCATACCATGTACCATACCATGTACCATACCATGTACCATACCATGTACCATACCATGTACAATATAATACAATGCCATACCACACCATATACCAACTCGTTCACCTTACTATAACCGCTCAGCCTTCTGTAATCTTTACTTTCACATAGGTGCCCTTGATGGAATCCCGGAAGAGGCCGACGCTCAGTTTCAAAAGTTCTCGTACGTTGACACGGAAGACTTGCCGATAACATAAAATAAATCTCAATAACTTATTCTAGTGTTGGCACACATTCAGGTAATTTAATCGTGAGGAAACTTGCGCCATAATTTTATAATATATACTCATTCAATGACCATCTAGAAATGGTTGCAACCAGATAATTGGTTGTTTCAACCTTTCAATTTTTACAATGTAGCCATACAATGAGTGTATTTTTCATAATATAACGGGCAATTTCCCCTTATATGTAAATGAAAATTGGGGGGAGGGACTGTTCTAGCTATATGTTAAGTTATTATGCAATTTAATTTTTGAAATCGCTCATCTTTTTAAGTGAATTACTTTTCTGCCCAGCGAGTCGGCTATTATGTATTTTGTCGCATATTGTACGCTTTGTGAAGTTTTGGAGTGGCATAAAACCATGCTCTTCTCTTTCAAAATATCTTAAAAATAGGGAAAGTTAGTGCCACAAATACTGCAGTATAATAGACATAAGTTCAGTGGCGTAACGCAACCTCCTGAGGCCCCCCGTCAAATTAAGTGGGCCCTATTTTTTTCCAAAAAAAGTTGGCCGGGGGAGGAGAAAAAAACTTTCAAAATTTTTCCCCTCATTTCCCTATGTCTACTAAAAAAGGAGTCATTTCACAATTCCTGCTTTTGGGGGCCACCCGTTGCAAATTTTCTGTTTCGGGCCAATTTGCCGAATGTACTAGCAAAAATGGTATGGTAATTTTTGCCGGAGGCCCCCCAGGCGTGGGGGGCCCAGGTCTCTGGGCACCCAAACACCCGCCAGTTACGCCACTACATAAGTTGTATATCTTTTAGTAATTTGCGCTCCGTTTCTCTCTGTCTGAATATACAGGAATAGAAATAACTCAGTTGAATTTTTCTAAAACTCTCGCCTCCGTTCATATTATAATTTATTTTAATTTTTCTCGACTCTGTAGGATTATACAGAAGTTCTTTTTTCAATATTTTATTATTTTCTCTACGTTTCGGGGAGTTTAACTGTCCGTCTTCAGGCTAAGAATTACAAAAATGACAAATAAAAAATAAAAATAGAAAAAATTTAAAAATTGATGAACATTTAAAAAAATGAAAATAATAAAACATTGAGAAAAAAACCTTCCGTATAATCCGATAGAGTCAAAAAAATTAAAATCATTCCGAAACTTTGTGTGAAATACTTTTAAATGAATTTGGAAGTTTTGTAAAATAATAAAATAATATAGATTACTGTACTTGACTAGATTAGAATAAACATGATTTACCAATAGCAACATTTTTTCTTGCTAAATATACATATGAACCATTGTACCACGAAGTATGGTATCTAATTATTGCTAAGAAGTGATATATCAATTTTGTCCTTACTCACCGTTATTCGTTAGGTAAACCTCTCAGAACGGAGCCTTGCATGGACGATTAATCAAAGGACCTCTGTTACATTACTTACTACACAATAATATACATTAAAAAATTTCTCGATTTTGATTGGCTAAGAGCATTTAAATTTTATTGAACTACAAAGAAATGTGCCAAAATGGCCCGCTTCCATATTCCCTTAGAATCCCCCCCTCCAACAACAGCAATGTGCTTAAACTACTACAAGCGTACAAGTATTATGAACGAATCAATTCAATTTTCTTTAATCATTTCTTTCCTCGTACATTATACGGAACGGCTCCAGATACGCCGAATTACTTAATGCTACTAACTTTAACAAAAATATCAAATCTAGCGACTCTATGTTCAATGTGTTTATTTTTGTCAACTGGACTGTTTTTAAAAACCATTGTAGTTTTATTGCTGATACTAATTTTAAACAGCTAAAACCCATATACACGCCAAAAATGGTCGAAAAGACTCCTGCGCCGAACGAATAAAACTTGACGATTGAATATGTGCAGGCGAAGTGATCGTATACCAAACCAGGAATTATTTCATCAATGTTGCATTCGTATTGTCTGTTCATCATTTTGTCCGTTAACCATACCAATATGACAAATATCACGGCAGCGACCACTGTTTGAACGACAGATATTATGAAATAAGATTTCTCTATGCTGCAGGAATTTGGACAACATAAACAGTTAGTGCTATCATTTCCCTCAAAATCCCGTACAAATTCCTTCAATTTTGTTTTCACTTGACTTCTGTTTTCTGCGGACTCCCTAGAAGTTGGGTTGTTATAAGCGTGTTTGTAACAATCATGCAGTAAATCACTCATCTGCTCCAGTGTTGGTGATTTTAGGACGAACCAAGCATTATTACACACCACACAATAACCAGCGATGACTATCAACACGTTCGGAAAAAATCTAACCATCCAAAAAATATCCTCACCACATTCCGAGTTGACGTAATCAAACATGTTTCGACTGGTAAACTGAACGGCAATGTCTAACGAATCTTCTCCTTTCCGGGATGAGTTGTAAATCGTTGCACAAGTGATCTTGTTTAATGCAGAAGAGTTCTCTTGCGGCGGACAGCGTAGGACGGGTATACACACAGGACCAGATGCATAGAGACCAACCACTCCACAAACGACAGCGATCATGACCAAAACGAGGATAAGATAATCGATGACTACATCCCACCAAGGTTTAAGGAATTTCTCAGCCTCGCTTTGGACGTGTAATTTCAGAAGATCTCCCGAGAGCAGCATCGTCTGTTGAAGAAATAATGTACCATTACATTGTATATTGCCATTCAATACAATATATTACATGCAATTATACAGGGTGTACCAAAAAAGTCACCCTTTAGAAATCTCTCTTATGCGTTATTATACCCCTGAAGTATTTACAACTTCCCTTCGTCCAAATAATTTTACACTTTGGTTACACTTTGCGTTAACATGTAAGTTGTTACGACATGTACTCGTTGCTCTGTAGTCCGCAGTTGAACCGTCGTTGAACCATTCTTATACTCGAACTGACGGTAAGACAAATTTGTAATTTGACATTTTTGTGTTGCTGTTCGTTTTAGAAGCTATTTCAAATTCCCAGAGGTATATATTACTATACAACAACGCACGTTTAACAAGAAGAGTGGTTTCTACAGTATAGGGGGACTTTTTTTGGATGGAAATTTTGCAGATGGAAAGTTTTTAAAGTGTGAATTTTTTATACATTTATTAGACCTAACTTTTGGCGCAGTTGCGAAAATTGAATTTATAGGCGGCCTCTGTAGCTCAGTTGGTTAGGGCGCTTTCCATTTTAGGCCTGACCGCGGTCAGACCCGAATTTTTGTCTCTGTATCAATGGAAAGATTTGGTCTATATGTTTCTCAAATATCTAGCAAAAATGGACCTCATCCTAATTTCATTAAAATTTTCAGGTCCGTTTTATCTTTCATTCAACAATTTGACCGTTCTGACCCTTTCGATTCCTGCCCGAGGACGTAACTGTTCGCAACTGTTCCTGGTTAAGTCTAACAAACGTATATAAAATTTCCACTCGATATCTATCTACAAATCCCTTCAACTATTATTCAATCGAGTGAGCTGCCAACAAAATCTTGATATTTACCCAGAATTATAGATCTACCATAATAGCATATACATGACATTACATACGCACCTAAATATTTCAACTCGAGTGACCAATCTTGTCTGCTTGACAGTATAAGAAGATTATGAATGTGTTGGGGTTTATAACGAGCCCCTTTATATAACTTTCGACAATGCACATTCAACGTGGCTCAGCAATACGCGGTTTCAAAACGCACGAAAAATTTCTTTACGGTTGAAGATTTTCTCACGGATAGTATTCAAAATATGTCTTTGTAAAATTCTTAAACTTTATTTTAAAAATTTTGGGTGTTGAAAGCATTACGAGTAAACAACTTTTATAGGTCATGTGCAGAATTACTGGAGCGTACACAAGTTACATACACGCAAGCCTCGACGTCATTATTTTGAAAACAGAAATACCTACAATGGTACGGTCTATGGGTTACATACAGCAATGAAACAAATTGTAAAATAGTGTCGCTTCGCTTGCACGCCATAGCACTATTTGGGGGAGGGGGTTAAAGACTTCTTGGGGGGAGGGAGGAGAGTGGATGCATGCAGTGGAAGAACTGTGTGATGACGTCACACGTTGCTCGTCGTAGCTTTTTTCTTTGCGCGGTCTTTACCAAAAGAACATACAATCTGTGACATAGCACGTGGACTAAATTAGCGGCCTAAATCCTAAATCGAGAATTGGCACCACTGAGATTAGCCTGCTCACAGACGTTGTTCTTACGCCAAGCGACGAAAACCTACCGTCGCTTGGCGTAAGAACAACGACGTCTTTTCGCTGACCAGATTGGTTTAGAAACAAATTTGGAGTAGGGTTAGCTTAGGACAAGGATTAGGGTTAGAGTTAGTAAAACCGTTGCTTTGTTACGTTTTGCCACTTTGAGGCCAGCGAAATAACCTCTTCGCACTGAGATTGGCGCCCTGGCCGCCTATCAATAGATTCGTCTTAGATTTTTTATTGAGGTTTCAAAGAAAATTTTATTTCATTTCTCAAATAACTGAGAAACTAAAGTCAAATATATAAAAGACAGATATGTTACTATAGTTACACTAAACCATTGAACTAAACGCTAAAACTACACACGCTAAAACAAAGCGGAACACGAACGCCAACGCATATAGGAGGACGTGTCTTTACCGAAATTTCGTCGTTTGATTTTGAATAACGCATTACTTTTTTCGTATTTTTTTTTATTTTTTGTAAAGTTGGTGAAAGGTATTATGAAGGAGGATAAATTGTTCGAGATTTTCTCACGGAAAGTATTTACAAAATACGTCTTTGTAAAATTCTTTAACTTTAAAAAGTTCCGTGTTGAAACCATTACTAGTAAACAACTTTTAAAGATCGTTTGCAGAATTATTCGAGCGTACCATACACGCAAACCTCACTCAAGGAGAGGTGGGCCGTGTTGGCGGGCGGGCGGGCGGGGTGACGAGAAGGTGGTTGAATGCAGAGGAACGTTCCCTATTTGTGACGTCACACCGTTTCTCGTCCCAGTTCCTTCCTTGCGCGGTCTTCATAAAAAATGACAATGAGCTATCCATTTAATATCCGTCCCCCCCTGTCGAGGATACATGTTTTTCATAGTTTATATACCCTTGAAGAATTCCAACTTCCAAGCTCAAAATCTTTTACCCCTGAAGAATTCCAAACTCAAAACCCTTTACCCCTGAAGAATTTCCAGCCCTGAAAAATCTCAATGCTCACTGCTCTTTTCTGAAGAATTCCAGGGATCTTCGACAGGGGGAGTACGGATATTAAATGCGTGATAGCCCAATATGGCTGCCGATCAGTGTGAAATAAAATTGGTTATATTTCTTTTATTTTCAACACATACATATTCTCATTACCTCGCAGAGCCTGGGAGTATTATCAGAGGAGTACGGAGTAACGGTAAGCATTTGTTAACACGGCGAAATATTGATAATTCTTTAAAAATAAAGGCTTATCCCGATTCTAGTATACAGAAGCTGAGTTCAAATTTGAGAGAACTTATAGTTGATAGACTTTTACCAGACGCTATCGCGTATTTCGGTAAAACTCTGAGTGTACGGCAACGTATTTCGTCTATAAGACTACAAAGGGGTTGTGAAAAGGAAGTATTTGAAGAAATTAATGGGACATTATTTCGATATTGTTTAAATGAATGTAAAACTACATATTGCGGGCCTGTGTTAATTCCCGAGGAACATCTTGATGTCTGTAGGACTTGTGACTCTAGTGAAGTTCATTGCACAAAGGAAACTTCAAAATCAACTGGGATTACAAATGCAGACTTTGTTCTGTATATTTCGGCAAATGTGACATCACATTGCAACAACAAAAATGACCTTATAGCGTATACATCATTATGCCAACAAGAGCAGACACTTGATCGTCCAGTTGCTGGTTTTGTTAATTTTTGTGTGGAGAAACTGTCGAGGAATTTTTCTTATAGTCATTTGTTGACGTTTATGAAACATGAAATTTTTCACGCTCTTGGGTTTTCCTCATCACTTTATGGTTATTATCGAGCTGATGATGGTACACCTCTGACGGCAAGAGTGACAAAAAATGGTAAGCCTGCTGTGAAATGGAGTAATAAGGTAATTAATTAGAATTAGAATTAATTAGAAGGTTTTATTTTTTGGCTGCTGTGGTTTGTGTCTGAAAAGATTAAAAATGCCACTGAAAAGTGAAAACCCTCTGCAAGTATTTTAAGTGCTTTTCAGTTCATCAGAGACCAAGAAGAAAGTTTATGTATTAACATTACGTTTGGGCATTAAGACAAGGTGAACCTGATTATCTGCCCATTACCAAAACCAATGATGCTTCCTCTCGTGCAAACAGTCATGTCTGAATGTTTTTGTGTGAAAGCATTCAGAGATATAACTGTTGTACATTCTTAATATTATGCAATACATGTTTTGAGAATGTGATCTGATTGTTCTGCAGGAAGTTGTGCTCAGAGTAGGTAAAATGTGATTCCAGAATTGAACCCCATATCTCCTTTGGACGTCCTAGTACTTAACTTTGTTTTTACCATTACT